CGAGCTGTGCATATGATGTCACTTCCGAAAGGCTCCAACTAGTGCAAACTCTTTTTGCCACACTCGGCCATTTTTGAATTGAGTAATGACGGGTGACCAAAAACGAAAAACAAGGTTGAAATAATCATACTTCCCGTGAGGATTTTGCGATTAAACTTGGCATGGTAAGTGTTTCTTACTTCTAGTTTCCAGAAGTGTAAAGAAGAGGCAATGCGAAATTTTGATCATAGTGGCACTTTAAAGACTGGCTGGACCAGTGAGTGAAGGAGGAGATATTCGAGAAAGTCTCAGATGGAGAGGCGATTACTTGGTGTTCACCACTAATGGTCCAATCCAAACCCAAATTCACAGAGGTGAAGAGTGAAGAGTTAGAGTCACACATGATTAGGGCAAGCATCGACATGAGAATTCAAACCAGTCAATGAAGCGAGGCCGGTGCGTCCAATCACCAAGAGTAGAGGACGTTATCTACTGTCTACACGACTGCAAGATATTCACGAAGCTGGATCTCAGACAAGGTTACCACCAGTTAACCCTAGACCCCTCCACACAACAAGTAGCAACATTCAGTACACCTTGGGGAAATTACAGACCCCAACGACTAGTGTTTGGAGCGAAATCACCACAAGACGTCTTCGATGAGTCTATGTTCAGAGTCTTCGGGGACATACACCACTGCTTAAACCAAAGAGATGACATTCTCTTGGGGGAAGAGACGAGGCAGAACATAGAGAGGTACTGAGGACCGTCCTAAAGCGAGCGAATCACCTTTAACAGAGAAAAATGTCAGTTTGGATTGGAACAAATTGAATTCTTCGGGCAAGTTTTCACCAAGGATGGACTAAAGCCATCAGCTGACAAAGTAACAGCAGTGAAAGAGTGTGGAGTGCCTGAGAGCAAAGAGGTAGTGCGAAGTTTCCTGGGAGTGGCAGGTTACCTGGACAACTTCATAAAGAATTATGCAATCATAGCAGAACCGCTATACCAGCTAACCAGAAAATGAACCAAATTCCACTGGGGTGAACAAGAAGAGGAAGCATTCAGAAAGATCCAATACAGCATCTCAAATGAGAAGACCATGACATTCTTCGACCCAAGCACACCCATAATCCTCCGCACAGAAGCCAGCTTCAGTAAAGGTTTAGCAGCTGCCCTGCTCCAGAAGACAGACAGAGGCATACAACCAGTACACTTCATCAGCCGAACAATGACAGAAACCGAGAAAAGGTACAGTCAAACCGAGAAAGACGCTTTGGCAATCTGCGAATTTACATACTTGGAGCACCCAGATTCAGAATCGTGACTGCCCACAAACCACTATTACCTTTATTCGACAAGGTAAAGGCCAAAATACCGCCAAGAATAGAGAAGTGGATCATGGAAATGCAACACATGGACTACGAATTGGTGTACGAGCCAGGGAAGGATAAGGCAGACCCCTTAGACTTCCTCTCCAGACACCCCTTACCAGAGACAGGACGTGATGAAACTGAGAAGATTATCAAATGGAATGTTAATACAGAGCACGCTGTGGTCATCACACGGATCAGAGAGGATACCCAGAAAGATGAGATCATGCAGCGATTAACCAAGAGGATCGCTAAAGGGGACTGGGAGAAACACAAAAGAGACAAAGACGTTGAACCCTACCAACATGTGAAACAGGAGTTATCAGTTGCAGAAGGACCTATTTTCAGAGAACATCGAATCGTACTACCGCCAGCACCTCAGAGAAAAGTGGTTAAACTAGGACACAGCCCAGGAAACTTAGGAAAAACTAAAACCAAGCCGATGCTGAGAGAAAAGTACTAGTTCCCGCTGATGAACATCATGATCGACACAGCTATTGACCAGTGTTATGAGTGCCAAGTTGCTACGAAAGGAGACAAAGAAGAACCAATCAAGGTGACTAGCATTTCAAACCGTCCCTGGGACACAGTATCCATAGACAATGGTGGACCGTACCTAGATGGACACTACAATCTCGTCCTGATTGACAAGAGAACCAGATACCCAGTGGTAGAGTCTGTACCATCAACCGACTTCCAGACCAACAAGGAGAGATTGAAGCACATCTTCGCCACCTATGGAACTCTGAGGAGAATTGAGAGGGAAAATGGACCCCCATTCAACTCTAAAGAGTTCAATGAACCTGCAAAGCAAGAAGGATTCCAGCCCCACAGGGTGACACCCCTTCACCCAAGAGCGAATGGAGAAGTAGAGAGATTCATGCAGACCCTAAGCAAGACCGAGCAAATTGCAAATCTGCAAGGCAAAAACCGTCTTGAGAGAAGAGATACGGTTCAAGACATGCTTATTGCCTACAGATCAACACCACACCCAGCTATGGGAGTAGCACCTTACGAAGCCCTTAAGGGGACCACCATGAGAACGAAGTTGGATTACATTGGACCTAAACAACGGAGAAACGAGAGGGATGACATCATAAACCGCAGAGATGCAGAATACAAGCAGAACATGAAGCAACAGAGAGAAGGGAGAAAGACCAGAGAGAATAATCTGCCTCTAGGAGGCTATGTTCTTATCAAGCAGCCAGGGAAGAACAGATGGAGCACACCCTACGAACCTGTGTTCTACATCGTGTACAACATTTGTGGCTCCCAAATAAAAGCCAGACATGTGACAGATTGACGAACCATTTGCCGAGATGTAAGCCAATTTAAAGTAGCAAATGCAGTAATCAACACCACTGATGAACCAGAGAAGAGTGAGGAAGTGCAAACACCACAGGCAGTGCCAGACCTAAAGATCTCAGAAAAGGAGACACCACTCAGTGTACTACCTGTCCCGCCTATGGTTAGCCAAATGTTGCAAAATTCAACAACTTGCATATTTATATTCAACAACTTATATTTATGCTCAACAAAATATATTTTTATTGAACAGTTTACAGTTATATTCAACATTTCATATTTATGTACAACGACACGCATTTCCTTTTCATATTCAACCAAAATTATTTTCATTCAACAACAATATCTATTCAACTTCAATAGCTATTTATTTTACTCAACAAAACTAATTGTTCAACTTCAGTCCAAACTTTTTACTCAACAAAAACAATTATTCAACTTCTACCATGCATTTAATAACAGTTATTTAATGACATACCTTCTATTATGACTAAGCGTTCGAAAGTTCCCGGACATTCAAGATAGCATCATTCAACAAAATTCCCCGCCTCTACCCCGGAACTACCCCCAAACAAGAAACCCATTCCCTTCCAATACGAGGATTATGGACTGGAACCCGATCATTAAATTTGCGCCAAAATCAAAATGGCAGCCATAACACTGAATGAAGATTCATTCTTCAGTTGCTTTGAGGATGTTACGAGCTTGTTAAATGTTTGTGAAGAGGGAGAAGACAGTGTTTGACGACCATTTATAGAGAGGGTGATCAATTGCTTAGAATGAGCGGCAAAGTTTGTCGAAAACGTGTTACTGATTGTAAACGAGTGCAAAGGAGAGTTGCCTGAGGTTGCTGGAAATTTAAGGGTTTTGTTCCACAGTTGGTGCCGAAAATTGACAGAACTGGGGTTAAGGAATACTCCAGACTGTACTCATTTAGCAGTATATCTGGTGCTTAATTAGGTCAGTTAATTCATCTGGATATTTGAGATACTCTCTAACTATCGTTGGTGTCAGCTTAACACGTTTAAAGGTGAACACACTCTCAAACAATTGTGGGTGCTTTGACATCTCATCAAGAACACCAAAGGTAATCAATCCTTTTCTCAACTGATCCAAAGCCATTTTACGTTTTGAAATGACCTCATACATGACCATTGATTGGATTATTTTCCGTTTGGTAGACATCTGAAATAAAATAATATATTAACAGCAATGCCCGAATAGAACGGTCGGGAAATATCGTTTTTATCTCTCTTCACAAACATTTAACAATCTTATAACATCCTCAAAGAAATTGAAGAATGAATCTTCGTCCAGTGTTATGGCTGCCATTTTGATTTTTGGCGTAGATTGAATGATTGGGTTCCAGTCCATAATCTTCGAATTGGAAGGGAATGGGTTTCATGTTTGGGGGTAGTTCGGGGGCAGGGGCGGGGAATTTTGTGGAATGACGATATTTTGAATGTCCAGGAACTTTCAAACACTTAGTCATAACAGAAGGTATGACATTAAATGACTATGCATGGTAGAAGTTGAATAGTCATTTTCGTTGAGTAAAAAGTTTGGACTGAAGTTGAACAATTAATTTTGTTGAGTAAAATAAATATAGCTATTGAAGTTGAATAAATATTGCTGTTGAATGAAAATAAATTTGGTTGAATATGAAAAGAAAATGCGTATCGTTGAACATAAATATAAAATGTTGAATATAACTGTAAACTACAACAAACATATGAAACATATGTATATATATATAAACATATATACATAACTGTAAACTGTTGAATAAAAGTATATTTTGTTGAGCATAAATATTAGTTGTTGAAGATAAATATGCAAGTTGTTGAATTTTGCAGCATTTGGCTAACCATACCCGCCAGATGCAATGGCAAATGCAGAGAAGCCAAAGGAACCAACCAGTGCAGAGATGATACTAGAACAACCCACTGAGCCAGAACAAGGAGTAGAGCATAACCAACCAGCGAACAGACCAGCAGTGACGAGACCCAGACGGGAGAGGCGCCAGTCTCATCATTTCAAGGACTATGTGTTATCTTAACATTTGATCTAAGTTCATCATCGGATCGAACCTGCTCGTTAGAAGCTTTTGTTAGTCTAGGGGGGATGTAGTATCGTTCCCCCGCACGCATTGCGGGCCTACGTTGTATCATGTGATTTGCATTAAAGTTTCGTTTATATCCAACATGCATTGTGTTTGACGATCATACATCGTCTTCATTGACCAAGCAGCATTCAGTAATTTTGCCCACTATTTTTTTAATGTATGTAATACTTACTTGTCAACTTTGTTTGATCCAGTGGATGAGGTTGGTGTGGAACTCCTTCGACCGTGATGGAGTGTAGATTTATGAAGAGAGAGGCAATCAAACTTTATAATCAGTTACTGCTAAAGTTATTGACATTACAAGTGTATAACACAGGTATCATGTATGAGAGATTTCTTTCTGTGGACCTAAGTTTTGACAACAAGATTCAAATGTCCTGTCTGCTCATCACTTGAAGCTAGTAAAAACAGTGCGGATTAGGCCAACCAAAACACCTGACTAGTCTAACACCTTTACATGCTAGTTTTTAATTACCTCATTTAATCAAAATCCCTAGTTGAAAATCCTTCAATGACTGAGACTCTTGGAGAAAATTCAGGGCTCAACATTAACGGTAGCTAACTAACCACAAACTAGTAGAAATTCAGTTTTGGCTGATGGTTTTTTATTTCCACTCATCAGTTTGGCTTCTAAACAAACTGAAACAGTTGTAACATTTAACTTGTCACTTGGCTAATAAATTAAAAAGTTAGTGTCAATCCCTGAAATTTGTTCAGCAGAAATTTGTTTCCCAATTTTAAGAAGAATGGAAATCAAATTGTGACAAAACCAGCTTTACGTGTGTGAATCAAGTTCATTTTCAAAATGTGCAGAAAAGTTCATGCACTGTATTTTTCTACTGCCAACAGTGTACACAAAGTCATAGGAAATATAATCTGATTAGTTCTCAGTCTTGCACATAATCTGAAAAAACGACATGGCTCCACAATAACCTGGTGGCCCGTTATCTTTATAGTTCTAAATTTTAAACTTATTGTAAGCCCTTGAGACATGAAATGTTAATTTATTATGAGTACACAAATTGTGTAGTCATAATAAATTAACCTTTCATGTGCAGCTCTTTCATGCGAAGAAGCCCAAACTGTCACGATCTGTGTTGAGTATTCCGAATACAAGGCCATCAACACAGTAAACCAGATCAAGATGGCCGTGAGAACTGTTTTTAATCCCCCATGAAAACCTCGTGTACAATACCAAATATGGAAAACAGGTCTCATGACACTAGCTTCTACATAGAACAGGGAACCCAAAAATAGGGAAAGTCTAACAATCTGAACTGGTTTCTCACAACGGCATTTTCTGTGCTTAAGCCTGTTTTCCATAATTTATGTACTGTATAATGTATGTAGAGTTGTCATTTATGGGTTCCAACGATAAGTGCTCTCATCCCTTTCACATGTGTAATTTCCCCCCTTTATTGCACGTGGTTATTCTCTTATATAGTACAGTTTTACAGATACTCAGGAATAGTAGTTTTACAGCATGCAGTTGTCACACAATGTAACTATTGTACAGCATATGGTGTGATTCCGTTCTTATGGAAATCAATACACTACAACGTACATGTAGGGAAGGTCCCGGATGATTAGCAGTTTCACTGTTTCCTAACTGTCCCAAAGTTTTCAGACAAATAATTATGGAGGTTGTAGAAACTGGAGGCTCCAACACATCCTATATCTCTGTGATGATCAGCAATCACTTGCTATAATTATTTGGAAACTTCAATTTTCACTGTTAGTTAGAGAGTTCAACAGTAACTTTGGCTCACTACCAGTCTTCCAGTTGCTTAGCAAATCAGTACCTTTCAATCACCGATACATGTGAATCTCCCGAAATGTCTGCAAAATCTGGAAGGGTTGGGAAACAATAAAACTGCCGATCACCTGTGTTTTCCCATTTTTTTGTCTCTAGAGTTTTGCACAGTAAATGTCAGCATGTAGTTGTTAACACACACGATGCACACGCACACAGCTTACTAAAATGGAAAAAAGAAAGAACCTACCAAAATGAAACTGTTCCAGGTGCTCTTAAGATGCATATACATTGGCGATTTTTCTGAGAGGATGTATAAGTCCATTTCTATCAATTCAAATTTCTTGTCAGCAGAATTATTGCCTCCATCATCAGAATTATAGTCCAACTCTTCCCCACTGTCTACAGAGCCATTACTGTCACTTCCATAATGACCCCTCCCATATGGACCACTAGAATCCACTGACTTTTGTCTGTTAAAGCTAGTTGATGAATGCTGGTAAGAAATTTCAAGCTCACTACTGCTAAACCTACAATTTAATTCATCATAGTCATTGTTAGTTCTTTCCTGCTGTGAAGCCGACGGTTTCTTTCTTTGTTGCTGATCAACACTTCCTGATCTCAGTCTTGTGCTCGAGCTAGACTGCACGATCATTGATTTATGACCAGGAAGAGGTGGCGAAAGGGGTGGCTTGCCCCAAGGAGATCATTAGAAACAGCTCCAATATTACTAGCTGACCCTGAATACAATTTGCTGCTGCGTTCATGCCTGAGATGTTGGAGATCAGGATCTGAGGCACTTAAATGAAGACTGGTTTTCTGTACTGACAGATGCTGCGTTGTGACTGGCTGGCTTTCTACACGTCCCATAGTTGTTTTAGATTTAGGGTTACCTCCCATTTGGGGTGCTGAATCCACTATTAAAACTGGAGAAGTACTGAGAATGGAAGATGATTGCATGGCTAGCTAACTTCAATGCTGAATTGTTTTCAACAGGTGGAATGGCTATCGCATGGCTTGATGCCATTTGCTTAAAAATCTTTTTGTAAACTATCAGAATGTGTTGGATTTTGGTCTTCAAATTTCCACTAAGAACTTCTGCAACATCATAAGTCTAGAG